TATACAACACTATCTGAGATCATCACTTACCTTTTTCCTCTGCATGTAATGGGCTTCATTACATATACACTCAACTAAAGGATTATTAGGAACACCTGTTCAATTTCTCATTAATGCAATTATCTAATCAATCAATCAATCAATCAATCACATGGCAGTTGCTTCAATGCATTTAGGGGTGTGGTCCTGGTCAAGACAATCTCCTGAACTCCAAACTGAATGTCAGAATGAAAAAAAAAAGCGTGGCATGGTTGTTGTTGGTGACAGATGGACTGGTCTGAGTATTTCACAATCTGCTCAATTACTGGGATTTTCACGCACAACCATTTCTAGGGTTTACAAAGAATGGTGTGAAAAGGGAAAAAACATCCAGTATGTGGCAATCCTGTGGCCGAAAATGCCTTGTTGATGCTAGAGGTCAGAGGAGAGTTATGATATGAGTTATGAGTCAGGGCCGACTGATTCAAGCTGACAGAAGAGAAACTTTGACTGAAATAACCACTTGTTACAACTGAAGTATGCAGCAAAGCATTTGTGAAGCCACAACACACACAACCTTCAATGGACTACAACAGCAGAAGATCGCACCGGGTACCACTCATCTCCACTACAAATTGGAAAAAGCAGCTAGATTTGCAAGAGGTCACAAAAACTGGACAGTTGAAGACTGGAAAATGTTGCCTGGTCTGATGAGTCTCGATTTCTGTTGAGACATTCAGATGGTAGAGTCAGAATTTGGCGTAAACAGAATGAGAACATGGATCCATCATGCCTTGTTACCACTGTGCAGGCTGGTGGTGGTGGTGTAAATGTGTGGGCGATGTTTTCTTGGCACACTTTAGTCCCCTTAATGACAATTGGGCATCGTTTAAATGCCACGGCCTACCTGAACATTGTTTCCGACCATGTCCATCCCTTTATGGCCACCATGTACCCATCCTCTGATGGCTACTTCCAGCAGGATAATGCACCATGTCACAAAGCTTGAATCTTTTCAAATTGGTTTCTTGAACATGACAATGAGTTCACTGTACTAAAATGGCCCCCACAGTCACCAGATCTCAACCCAATAGAGCATCTCTGGGATGTGGTGGATCGGGAGCTTCGTGCCCTGGATGTGCATCCCACAAATCTCCATTAACTGCAAGATGCTATCCTATCAATATGGGCCAACATTTCTAAAGAATGCTTTCAGCACCTTGTTGAATCAATGCCACTTAGAATTAAGGCATTTTTGAAGGTGAAAGGGGGTCAAACACAGTATTAGTGTGGTGTTCATAATAATCCTTTGGTGAGTGTATGTGGATATTACATATACTGTTTAATATGGGCTGTATCTGTAGATCCATTAGAATGAAATAATTTGGCCAGGATTTATCCATGGGTTAGAACAGAAAATGAGCTAGAGGCGTGTCAAGAGCTGTTAATTGACATCCATGTTAACCTCTCCAAGGCACACTGTTCACTATCACAGGCCATTGCGGGGCTAAATGGAATGCAGCTGGGGGACAAGAAACTCCTGGTTCAGAGAGCAAGTGTCGGCTCCAAGAACACCACACTGGTGAGGGACAGTATGAGTGTGTTCAAGTATTGAGTACCTTTGTGTGTGTTTGAAGTGCTGAATTTCCCATTATTTCTCAATCTCGCCCCCTCTTTCTTTCATCTGAAGACTGGTATAAACCAGACTCCAGTTACCCTTCAAGTTCCAGGTCTCATGAACACCTCTGTAACTCAGATGGGTGGCATTCCCACGGAAGTATTGTGTCTGATGAATATGGTGGCTCCAGAGGAGCTGCTGGATGATGACGAGTATGAGGAGATCGTGGAAGACGTCAGAGACGAGTGCTCTAAATACGGTCAGGTCAAGAGCATCGAGATTCCACGCCCTGTAGACGGCCTTGAAGTTCCTGGCACTGGAAAGGTTTGATAAATACATGTACATTTGAATGAAAATTTTAAAAGTAGCATGTTAAAACTGTTGTCCATGTTTGTTTGTTTTTCTCTTTTCCCCCTTAGATCTTTGTGGAGTTTATGTCAGTGTTTGACTCTCAGAAGGCAATGCAAGGCTTAACAGGAAGGAAATTCGCCAACAGAGTGGTGGTGACTAAATATTGCGACCCTGATGCTTATCACCGCCGTGACTTCTGGTAGAGACTGGACTGAATCAAGAGCTAGAGAGACGCAGATGTTGTGATATCAGTCTCCTGGAAACCCCTTATTTTGTAGGTTTATGAGGTCTGAGAGGGTGTGAGCTTGCTTTTTAAATCCTGCAGACTAAAACATGACTTGTGATTGGTCAGAATGTAGCGAACCAATTATTTGTCATGTTTTTTATGTTGTTGATTGCAACATTGAAGTATGTGCAAAGCTATAAGATGGGAAAATAGATCGTTCTACTGTATGTTATTGTCTACAGAAAAGGATACATTTAGACATGCCACTAAACTTCCAGCTTAATTTTGGCCCTTAGTGATTTCACATGTCCGTTTTCTTTCCCCTCAATGTTAAATATCTGCTCTAGCATCTGTACAGCTCAAACTTTTGAGCCAGACTGGTCAGATAGGAGTGAGAGGAGGATATAAAGAAGCAAGTGAGGGAAGAGAAATGACGACAACAACAGAAATGAATGTTACACTCAAACAAGAAGGTGAGAGGGGGTATTTGAGGAAAGAAGGCTGTTATTTTGACATGGTCTTTATTTTGGCTGTGAAATTCTGTTTCCTGTATAAAACTGCAGTTTAAAAAGCCAGATGAGTTTCTGGATTGTCTTTTGACACCACACATGTATGAGGTAAAGCTGTTACAGGCATCTTTTGTAGAGGGTGAGTCCAGTTAAGTCTAAACTGTCTTCTATCTTGACCCTCCTTTTTTTTTCTTGCTGTCTCTCCTTCTTTTTATAATAGTTGGATTGTTTCTTGTGAACCCTATTTTCCTGGCCCCATCTAACCAAATTTATACACAGTGAAAAAGAAACTTGTCTCTTTTCTTTTTATACATTCTGATTCTGTATCTAACTGTCCACTGCTGTTTTTTTTTTTAAAAACTGTAATAAGCTAAGTTGATTTAATACAATGCATTTATGTATGAAGACCAGAGAAACAATCTGGTGAAATAAAACCAATGCGTTTGAATTGAATCGCGACACACTGCATCTGTATTCTGCCAGCAGATAGTGCTAACAAGCACTGCTCACTAGTTAGAACTAGTTTATCACTGATACGGTATCTGAGTATTATGAGCAATGGGTTAGTCTAGTCAGTCTGTTTTTAGACTCGGGGGGCCGGGTGGGTGGGGGGTATTGGGATAGTGTTTTTTTGTTTGTTTGTTTGTTTGTTTTTTCCCTCTAAAATAATAATAATAAAAAAACAGGAAAAAATATCAATAAAAAAATGTTTATTACTGATATTCATGTGGTTCTATGGGTTGACTGAAAACTATGAAATGATGCTGAGAATTAGAGATTATGGGGAGTTAAATGTGCTTCACAAATCCAGGAGTATGAAACTGAAATTCCTCTGTAAAGGAGGGGGTAGGGGGGTTATTTATTGGGTGGTTAAGTTTAATAGATTATAATAAACTGCTTTTAGCTGCTTGACCAAGGCTATGTGATATAATAAAAAAGTATTATGTAGAAAACAAATAACATAACTGGTTATAACACATTATCTCCTAGTCTCAGTCATTAGTGGCTCAACTAGAAAAATAATTGGAAAATATGTTTTCAAACCTATTGACTGTTACTTTTCAGGGAGCCAGGAAAAATTTGTTCACAAGCTTAACAGAAAAATATGGTTCAGTCAGCCCGGTACTTCTGTGTATTACTTTAATGCCCTCCCACAAAAAAACCAAAAACAAACAAACAAAAAAAGCATTTTAATGTATTTACTTTAAAGTCCCCGTGAACCGGAAGTTGCAAACGATTTTTCTCCAGTGCTGTGTGACGTATTTCCGAGTGAAACGGAATATTGAACAGAGGGCAGGGTTTTACTCTAGCGCTCCTCCTCTCCATCTCTCGCTCATAGCAAACTAACGGTTTGAGGGGAGTGGTTAAGCGTTTCCCCACCCAAGCTGTGAAACCTACGTCATCAGAAAAAGAAACCGTTCCAGACCGGAAGTAACTTTTCAGATTTTGATTAAAGATTACCAAGGTAAAATATTTTTTTTATATATATTCACTTGCACGGATTAATTGTTCACCACAAGACTAGTAATATGCGCTAACAAAGTAAATCGGTTCAATTTTGATTTCACGGGGACTTTAAAGTGTTTTCGGTAACACTTTATTTTACAGTGTCCTTATGTTACATGTACTTACTATAGTAATAACAGTATATAATGCATAATTTACATGCAACTAATCCTCAACTTAAAGGGTTATTTCACCAGTATTTACTCACCCTCAAGACGTTCGTTCATCTTCGTAACACAAATTAAGATATTTTTAAAGAAATCTGAGAGCTGGATCACTCCTGCATACTAGTCCATAGGCTTCTTGAGGAATTGAAACTTGCTGGCTTCGAAAACTTATTAAAGACTTCATTAAAATTGTTGAAGTGACTACAGTGGTGGCTCAATCTTAAGTTTATCAAACGACGAGAAAACTTTTTGTGCAAAAAACAACAAAAATAATGAGTTTATTTGACTATTCATTTCCTTCTCTCTCTGCCTCGAGTCAGGTTACTAGTTTAACAGCATTTGATCTGTTGTACGTCACAAGCATCACACACGTGACCAGCGTCGGCCAATAGTGAGCCTACGTGTGACGTAGCTCTACGCTATCACACTACGTTAACTGACTAGAGGCCCATAGAGAAGAAAGTGAATAGTTGAAATAAAGTCGTTATTTTTGTTTGTTTTTGCGCGCAAAAAGTTTTCTCGTCGCTTCATAAAGTTACGATTGAGCCGCTGTAGTCACTTGGACTATTTTAAAGATGTCTTTAATAACTTTTCAAGGCCGGCAAGTTTCAATTCCTCAAGAAGCCCATGGACTAGTATGCAGGAGTGATCCAGCTCAGATTTCATCAAAAATATCTTAATTTGTGTTCCGAAGATGATGAAGATCTTACAGGGGTTGAAAGAACATGAGGGTGAGTAAATACTGACAGAATTTTCATTTTTGGGTGAACTAACCCTTTAATGCTACCTTAACCCTATAGTAAGTAGCCTACATGTAGTTGCTTAGTATTACTCAGTTCTTTAATATATAATTACACTGTAACAATGACACCTTAAAATCAAATTTAGGCAGCTAGATAACATCAGTGAAATGGTGCTCATTACTTTGGAGAGATCATAAAGAAGACTACAAATACTTTCTAATGATTTATTCAGGGCTGTATCTAAAACCTTTTATGGAATGGTATTGGCGTTATATGAATAAACTACTACCAATGGGTTGATGGAAACATGTTCTGTTGAATTATTAGTGACCATCTTTTTGGCTAAATTATTTTTGCCTATTGATAATGACCCCAATATAATGTCTTACAGCTATCAGCTGCTCTCTCTTGCCTCAAACAGTCCTCTCTCTCTAAAGCAAAACATGCAAAAGAAGTGCTGCACAGAGTGTGACTTCTCGGTCACTCGAATATTGTAGAAAAAAAGTTTAAAAAAGGCAATTTTAAAATTGGACCAATTTTTTCTTCTTAAGCCATGATCAAATAAAGGCTCAATATTCGAGTGCCTTGGAGTATATTTTTTTTGTTAAGTCCTCTTTCTCTATTTTCTGTCTTTGCAGCTGTAACTCCCACGCTCTTAATGTCATTAACAGGTGCTTGTCCAAAATAGAACTGTTGCTCACACACACACTCAAACATCAGTGGATCAGCTGACGTGCACTCGACTTTATTTCCCGCACACATGCAAAACTCACACTGACCTACACTGAAAAATGTTAAATCTATTCATACGTAGAAAAATTCTCTTGCTTGGACCATCTATTCATACTTAAGCTGTCGTGCATTCAAAATATCTTTAACTTGATTGCATGAGCCCCGGTCCCACTTTTCTCCACCCTCCACTTTCTCTTTTTTTCTCTCTTGCTCTCTTTGCGTCTTTCCTTCTACTCTCTCAGTTGAGTTTCATGTATCTAGTCATCAGATCTGCACCCACACAGAACAGGTCAGGATTTGATTGCTCTCACTGTTGCTAAAGCTTGATGGCTTTTCAGTGCACTTACTGCACACATGTATACTGTCATAGTTTAATAAAATCTGTGACACAAACCTTAAATTTAGTAGTTTTGTGTTGTGCAGCTGATTAAATTATGTATTTTGTTATGCTCTCAGGGAGAGTGATTGCGCATTTGATAACATTGCGAACTTATTGTTATTTATTTTTCTCAAAAAATCTGAATCTAAAATGCATGGATGTATTGATACATAAGTATAATTGATGTACGTGTAAATTTATTATTTCTATAAGTGTAAATTATTTTGTATATTAACCAAAATTTTAAAAAATATATATATTTATAATTAATTTTTTTTTTTATTGCATCACAATCACATCACTGTTAAAAATGTGACTAGTTATGTTTGCATACGTCTAACTGTCTGATAAACTTTTAGGCAGTTCTATTGGTCTGGATGTAATTTATTGTCATAAGAGATGTTTATATATGGCTTCTGGAGTCTTAATCATAGATCTAGTGTGTGAGTTTTGGGGTTGAAGCCCTGTAACTTTAAAATGACGATTGGTTTCTTTCATTCTTGCTGAAAAAATTGTCTCTTGACTGAGATGTTGAGCCCCTTAGGAGTGGGTGTAGACTGCTTCCTTTTGAGGCAACAACATATGGCAAAGTATAGTATACACATTACTGAAGCGTAACTGTTTTGAAGAAAGTTTTGACAGCGTCGGAGTAATTTAAAGAGCTGCGATGGAGGTGGAGATGATCTTGGTGGGTTAATTATAGCCTGTTACATTTCCAGGTCATGTTTAGTGTTTTGACAGTCTGTTATTTCTCAATGACTGACTTACAATGCATAAAATGGCCACAAAAACTCACTGAAGAACTTATTTAATATCTGTGTGTAGTCATTCTGCAATTTTTTTCATCTGGATTTTTAGCTTGTTTTCCAGTGAAATAACAGGCTTGTTTTCTGATATAATATTTGGAACTAAGTAGATTTTTCTTGCTTCATTTGCATTATGTTTTACTCGTATTATATTAAATGTGAGATTTTAGTATGTTTTTGAAAATAATTCTTTTATACTCTGCAAAGCTAAAAGCTCTGCAAAGCTTTTTTTATCCAAACAGTAAAAAAATTTAATATCGTAAACCATTATTACAATTTAAAATAACAGTTTTCTATGTTGATGTGCAGTCTTCAGTGTCACATGATCCTTATTTATTCTATAAATTCTTATTTATTTATTTATCCTTATTTATTAGAAATATTCTAATATGCTGTTTATGATGGGTGTTGAAAATTGTTGTGCTGCTTAATATTTTTGTTGTTGTAGTGTTTTTTTGTTTGTTTTTGGAATAGAAAGTTAGCATAATTTATGGGAAAAAAGATATTTTACATTTTGTAACAACATTGTAAAGTGATCAGTTGACTTAACTTCAAAAAGTGAGGAAACCCATTGCTTTAAAATGATTAAGTAAATAAACTTCATGAGTAACAGATAAAATTAAGTTATGTGGAATTGTCAAGTTCACCTAACTTCTTTTTTTGAAGTTTATACTTAATATTTAGGCAATGGATTTCCTCACTTTTTGAAGTGAAGTCAACTGATCATTTTTACAGAGAATTTAAAAATCTTTAGTTTACTTTGTGTAAAATTATCATTGCCTTAAAAAAAACCTTACTGACCCCAAACTTTTGAATGGTAATCTATACTTAAAGTCTAAGATGCCTGTGGTGGACTAAGAAAAATAAAGTTAGTTCAATATATATTTTATGAAAAAAAAATATATATATATTTAAAATATACTAAGTGATTTTGCATAAGTGAAGTGACCTTATTTTAAATTATCATTATTACTGAGTCATTTATTTTTGCTGTGATGCTAAAATGCTAATTTTGGACTATTTTTAAATAAGATAATTCATAAGTATATGCTGTGGCGTGTTTGTGAGTGTATCATGCTATAATTTTGGCTATGGGCCACATGCTTATTTATTGCCTTGTTGTGGTCTTATTGCTCCTGTGTGAGTGATTGGCTTCAGTGAGCCTCGTCTTGTATACTCCCTCCCTGTACAGGGACCGTGTTAACACCTTAGACCCTCTGTTGCTTTGCCTGTCACAGATGAATTAACACCTACTGCTCCACCTGGCTCTTCTTTTTTGCCTTCATTCTCAATCATCCTTGTGTTTCATCCCTCAGTATGTTCCTCTTCCCGCTCTCAACCGATCTTTTTTTAGAATAGCAGAACGCCGCACACCTTGAAATTCATGTCCACAGATCTGATGTTCTCTGTACACATAATGCTTGGGTATTTATGAGGCCTTAAAATGGCACAGATCAAACAGGCTGGGCTAAAGTGAGCTGGGTTATGCGGGTATGTGGTGTTATCGTAGAGTCGCATCTGGCATAGCTAATTATTAGACAATGTGACCTAATCGTGAACCATATTAACTCTCTCTGACAGAGGACAAAGGTATAATGTTGTTCTCCAGGTATTAGGGATGTTCGCTGTGTTCAGTATGAAAAGTGCATTGTTGAATGTATACTGCAAAATCTTGTTTTCAAATAAAAATATAAGTGGGGAAAAATATAAAGAAAAGCTATTAGATATTTTAAAAACAATTTTTAAAATAACTTTATAAATAACTAATTTAATACGAATTTCATAAGTTCTAATTTTACTTCTAAATTAGAACGTTACTTTAAGGTTGAGTTTGTTAACATTAGTTAATGTGTGATGATAGAATATAAATAGAATATTTGTTTTTAATTATTATTCAATTAATTATTTTTGCGGTAATGCTTTACAATAAGGCTCCATTACTAACTTTAGTTAATGTATTAATTAATAACTAACATTCACTAGCAATGAGCAATACATTTGTTAAAGTATTTATTGATCTTTGTTCATTTTAGATAATACAAATGCAGATGTTTTGTGTTCATGTAGCTCAAGTCCATTAAGTAATATTAACGGTTTATTTTAACAATATATAAGTAAATATCAAACAAACTATGGTAAATGCTTTAGAAGTATTTTTCATTGTTAGTTCATATTTACCGAAATAGTTAACTAACATTAACAAATGGAACCTTATTTTAAAGTGTTACCATAATTCCTGTTGTAAATTCATGACACCTAATGCATTTTGTAATGCTAACAGAACAGATTCAACCTTATTATAGAGGTTGCTTTATTAGAATTCTGTTCATGTTCTTAATATGTTATACATGTGTGTTTGGATTATTTACGCATCTATGATGGAAACAAATTTCCTGAGGACAAATAAATCATCAATCATCATAGAGTGAGAATAAAAATAGTAAAGCATTAAAATTAGGTTAGAAGTAGTTCATAAGAAGTATTAAGCATCTATAGTATCTTGAATAAAGTTGTTGTAACCCAATTGTTTAGATGGTAGATCTCTGAATCCTTAGTCTTTCTGCTACTTTTCATGTACTGTCTTTTGAAGACTTTTTTTGTTTTTGTTTTTTGCAGGTTCAACAATAAGAGGAATGCATCTTCTTTTCGCGGCTCATTAAGGCCTCAATCCAATGTTTCTCATCAAGCCATTCTTTTCATCTACCCATTATTCCCGTCTAGTTTGTTATCAAACCTTCTCATGTTTGTAGGCGTCGGTTAATTCCCACTCTACGTTCTTCAGAAATGACCCCCTGTCACTTCAATTTCTGGCACACCGGTTTCTTTTTAAATCACAGAACATTGTAATTCTCTATAATTTCCTGTTTTTTTTTTTTGTGATTTCTATTAATATACTTCTCTGTGTTCACATTATCTATCGGTCCAGCAAACTCCAGACTAATCTCTCTAGTCTCCTGGGTTTTTTTTTTTTTTGCTTTAGTCATTTCTGGTTCTCCCCTTTCTTGACTTTGCCTCTGGGAGTTTTCCTTTCTCATTGCCATGTGGTCCAACTATTTCATTGCACACGACGAGGATGGGAGAGGAGGTGCGGCAGGGTTGGGTGGAGCTGGCAAGAAGATGGGGCGTGCAGGTCAACGACCGAGGCCCCCTCGAATGAGTGACAGCCAGGAGGGCAAGATCAAGCTGGCATTTTTTATCGCCCTCATAGGCGTGACTCTGGCGGTACTTGGCATGGGCACAGAGTTCTGGGTGGAGTTATCTGAGCCAAAACACTTCAGGAACAACCAGACGTGTGAGATGGCACATTATGGCCTTTGGAAATCATGCGTTCGTACACTATGGGTGTCCGATATTGACCCGGAGAGAGAGAGCTGTGGACCTGTAGAATTGCCTGGAGGTGAGAGCACTCATTCTTTCTTATCTAACATACTCACATGCGTTTACATGGACCCTAATAATCCGATTGTAATCGAACAAGTACCTCAGTCTTCGGAATAGAAAAGTCATATGTAACCATGTCAGTCAGAATGCATTGGCCAAATCCAATTAAAATTTCTTTTGAATTGTAAGGGGTGGTGTAAACACTTAATCGGAGTGAAACCTGAAACTGGAAACTACTGCGCATATGCGCTGACGTAGAAATGGCGTAATGATGTATGACACATGGATTGAGCTGTTGTTGTGGAATGAAGTCGTGTCATTCTAAAATTCAGAAAAAAAGTGGAGCAGGGTATAGTATGCAGGATATAGTATGCAGATTTCCTATATAGTATGATGACCTGCTGCATATTGCATCCCACAATGCAATGTGCTTGAATATTAACATATGTGCTGTGAATTTTAACATCTCTTTCTTAAATCGACTCTTTAAATATTTTGTATATATATATATATATATATATATCCCTTTATAAAAAATATATATTTTTGGATAATATAATTGATGTAAAAAAAAAAAAAGATGTGGTTCCAAGATATGATAATTGCTCCCATCTATTTCATTAATCACCATAAAATCAAAATGAACAATTCTGATTTTTAATGGAATATTGCAGTGTTTATTATAAATGATATATTCATGCACATCATTATTTTATTTTTATTCATAAGCCCTTGTAATCAATAATTAAAATAACTTCCCCTCCCACTTGCAACAACATCTCTTCTCTGATGACCTACTTACTGTCATGAAGGCGGGACGACCTGTCACTCACATGACATGACAGCAATAGCAAACCACAACGATCCAATCAATCCCAGATCAAAATCAAGTTCCACCCTACATTTTCACTTGTTCGAGAAGCTATTTGACAATAGGGAAGAAAAGACAATGGCAACTTCCATTTCATCCGTCATGAAACATGCAGCATAATGAGATTGTCGACAACAATGTAGCATAATGCTGTTTAAAACATTTCTTGTTGCGTAATATGTTCTGTTTTACATACTATTTTTAAAAAGTTGTATGCCGAATTCAGTGTGCAGTATGATAGTATTCCATCCATACACACCCTACCAGTCCAGTGTTTGCATTGCTAGTGGGAAACTGGAGGTTGACATCATTAGATAAAAATACTAATCAATAAGGAAGTATGAAGAAATGATTAGACTTACTAAAAGGAATGCATAAACAAAATCTGGTGTGTTTTTACACACACTGACTAAGAGTTTTATTTTGATAATATAATATAATGTATTGTTCTTGTATCGTGTATTGTTGGAAACGTGAACACATTATACGGCATACTTATATGTATGTATCTGGGTTAGCTGGAGGAGCAGATCATGCATAATTATTTTTAAAGACACAAAGCAGCATTCAGCTCACGTACAGCAAAACAGGGGTATTATTAATGACGGTTGACTCTCTAAGATGCCGTAAGAGAGGCTTAGCTTTTCTAGTTCTGGTTGGTGATATTCATCTTACCTCTCATATAACAACACACACAAACAGAGAGCCAGAGAGTTTCATTTGCCTCAGTTTGTACGACTCAAGAGAACTGTGATGATGTTTCTTGTAACAGTGCCATTGGTCCGAGTCCGACTGCCAGATCTGTTAAGGAACAGTTCCACTCTCTACTTGAACCTGTCATAACAGATCATAACATGACACCCCTTTAGCTGAGAATGCAGAACTGCACTTTTTTTTTGGCAATTTTTCCTGGCAAAGTTAAAAGGGCAACCAGTTTGGTTTCTGCTTTGAATGTTTAAATAAGAGATAACTAAACATTCTCCGTAGTTTAATGTTTGAACATTATGCAGAGATGACCTGCTTTCATTCTCGGTTATGACTTCCATGATGCATTTTTAAGAAATCTGTTCAATATTACATTACCAGCTCTATGCTAATCATATCTTGTGCAGCTCTCAGCAATGACCTTACTTGACTCTGTGTGTGCCTCTATTTAAATTAGCTTGTCAAATTTGTATATACAGTGTATGTTTTTACATTAATTTACATCTTTAAATTACATTTTATTTCTTTAAGTATAAAGCAAAATTACACACAAAAAAAAAACACAAATTTAACCATGCCCTGACTCGTATGTAAATAAGTGTGGCCATAAAAATTAATCTTCATAAAAATTGGAAAATTGAAGATCCACTCTTTTTTTTTTATACAAAGTGTCACTATATATGTGACCTATATAGTGAGATATGCAAGACAAAAACATTAGTCTGACTCATGTGTACTTAAAAAATAGCATAGACTGAGAATGCGAAAATATGTTCTGTGTGAACTGACCCTGAATCAACCTCGAACAAATTGACAAAAAATAGAGTGCCGTGGACTGTAGGTCAGTAATAGGTTTATGCTCACTGGTGTGGAAAAAAACAAAACAATATATTGACTTCTAAAGACATTATGTATGTCTAGTGTATAAATGTGGTTGTTTTCCTTATTTTGTTGTACCATCTAATGGATTTTATCCAGAGGTGAGCAGAAGATCAAAATTGAGTGAGCACAAATTTTTCCAATGAGGGTAAGTTCTGGAAAAAAGATGTGTTTGTGAGAGGGGTCACAGTTATAGCAGAAAGGTCAGTCATATTGCACAAGGAAAAACTGCAGTCTGACTGCTGCCCGTTTGCAAGTCTAAATTTAGAAGACATGAGAGAAAAATCTGGAAATATAAGTAGACAACAGACAAGCTGCAGAGGACGAGAGAGAGGGAATGTGGATTTTATTTTGTATACATGCTTGAGTCTGTTCTCTCTTCCTTGTTCTGCCCTTCATCTTCTCTTTCCATCTGCCTCCCTCTCATTCCCTCCCTCTCCATCTGCCTCGCGCTCTCTGTCTCTTGTTCTTTCAGTGCCATATGTGAGAGGGCTGCTCTGTGTCCTCGACACATTAATACACAATGACCCTCACAGGGCTTACAGCAGAGAGCTCAAGTGCCTTTTTCTGTTTCTCTGACTGATTTTATTCTTCACCTTCTCTGTCTCATTTTTCGCCCTCAGAATCGAACTGCACATTCTTTAAATTCTACACTTCTGGAGAGAACGCTGTTATATTTAAGAAAACGACCCAAAAAAGTAAGTTCTTACTGTATCCTCTGCCCTCTTTTCTCTCTGCCTTCTATGTGTCATTTCCCTTTTTGCTCTCTCATCTATTCATTCTCTCCCCTTCCACGCTGTTTCTCTCATTGAAAATCAGTCATGTGTTTCTGTCTCCTCCCCCCGCTCCATGTCTCTCCAGCTCTCCATCACCCATACATGCAGGAGAATGTATCATTCCTGAGCTCCTTTCTTGTTCAATTCTTATTTCAGTTTACATAATTACTGAATGCCCCAACAAAATGCACTCACTGTATACCCAAACTTATCTGGACTTATCTGGTTTGGCTAGGCCAGTTAAAGGTACAGTTCACCAAAATAAAAATGAAACTTCTGTCATCATGTATTCACCGCCATGTTGTTCTAAACCTGAATAACCTTTTTTCTATGGAACACAAAATGACACATTTTGAAGAATGTAGTGGTCACTTTTGCAATTCAATTACACACAAAAAGATGCAAAATCACTATAAAACACAGTTCTCAGGATTACTATGATACATTTGTGTGAGAAACAGACACATTTAAGTTATTTTTCACTGAAAATCTCTTCCACCTGTGAACTGTTAGTTTACTGTTAACCTACTGATCAGTTTGATTCATGACTAAAACATCTGACTCAGAAGAGCAATCCGTCCATGATTTAGATATTGCTACTTCTCTTCAAGCATGATTTCCAGTGAATTATGGCTTCAATTTTGGTCTGTTGCTCACTTGAAGCTTTTGTGCACAAGATTTTTGATAGTGTTCTGTTATTTTAACTGTAGAGCATGATGCTAGCGATATAAAGTAATGATTTACTGAATCCAGCCTGCTTAAAACTCAGATTTCACCACATTGAACACCTTTGGGATGAACTGGAATGCTGAACATGTACCAGATCCCAATGGCCAAAATCAGCCCCTGACCTCACTAATGCTCTTCAGTCTGAATGGGAGCAAATCCCTTCAGCCATGTTCCAGCATCCAGTGAAAAGCCTTCCCAGAAGAGTGCAAGCTGTTAGGGAGGGCCATTAAGGCCAAGGGTTTTGAAATAAAATGCCCCTGGGTTTGGTTGTCCACATACCTTTGCCTTTATCTTATAAAATGGAGACTTTTATTTTCAAGTATAAATTTTGTAACAATTATAACAACTCACTGCTTGCTTTGTTTTCTCTCTTAGGTTTGCACATGACAGGTGCAATATTGGCTTTGTTCAGTTTGTTTCTGATGGTCATGGGCGCTCTGTGTGTCACTATGTCTCTCAGTAAGAGTGTGCCCTTCTTCCTCAAGCCTGCAACCATCTGCTTCGTTTTCTCAGGTACTTTTCAAACACCTCATAACTGCATCCATTCATCTGCTGTAAAACTGAAGTAGCTAATTATGGAGTATGCTACGTTTTATTAAGGCGTCCTGTGAGTCAGTGTTCTAGACTAGGATTGGCAACGGTGTAGTGCACTCTGTCCCATTGCTGAGATTCTGAACTCAAACATCAACCATCACAACTTCAAGCATCTCAAGAAATACAACTGGCCTTATTTCAGGGTCACCTCACTAGTCAGGTGTAACCACTGATATTCTTTATTTTATTTAATTTGTTATTTATTTTTATTTCGAACAACAAAAAAAGATAATTAAAATTAAAGCTACAAGCAGCGATGAAAAGGGCCCACCGCCACCCGGCAGTTTTAGGAAGACGGAGCACGGTGGGCAGTATGTAATGATAATAAATAGGAGGGCTATGTCAAAGTATTTGTATTTGCCACACTTCCTGCTACCAGCAGGTGGCGCTATTGCTATGACCAAATATGAGCATGGTCATGTGTTCAGGACAAGACTCTTATCAAACATGTGAATTTTGGGGCCGATCAGACATTGTATGCGTGAGTTACTGCAGGCTGTCTGTGGTTGCCTAGCAACATTGGAACTGCAAGCAATATTGAACTATATGACATTTCATGCACAAATCACCAAAAGTCAGGCCGCTAAGGGCACACCCTTCGATGAAAACTCAAGATCTTCTCAATTTAACGTCGCAAAGGCCTTAAGATTACACTCACCTTTAGATCAGATCAAAACTGTAGGAGTTTGTTTAAGTACAATATCAGGAAATTACGAAAAATGCACAAAATCTAGGTGGAAGTTAAAAATAGCTGACTTCCTGTTGTGTTTAGGGCTATGCTCCAAGAGACTTTTTTGTTGGTATTGGGTCATTACATGTATGTACCAAATTTCATACCTGTATGTGAAACGTAGAGCCGGGGCAATAATTTAAAGAGTTTGCCCCACCCAATTTTGAAAACCATATCACACGTAAATTTTCACCACTTCTGAAGCGTGTGCAAAGTTTCAGAGTTTTCGAGCATGCGAAATGCGAGCATGTTTCGAGCATCCCTCTAAAAAGCGATTCTTTTAAGAGAAGAAGAAGAAGAAGAAACAAAGCAAAAACAATAGAGTCCCCTCACCATTGGTGCTCGGGCCCTAATAAAATATAAAAAATGCAGCATACCGAAAAAAAAAAACAATATCTATAAAGTACTATAACAATAACTACAATATGTTCGAAAACGAGCAGGATGAAGTAGAAGCTGATTAAAAATTTTAACTTTGAGTTGTAGAAGAAGATATGGCAGAAACTTAAAGCGCTGGTGTAGTTAGAACAACGTTTTTTTTTTCCACTTAGGGGTACTTTTTCCACTAAGTTTTGCTGAGGGCATCATTTAGATGAATATGTAAATGTGTTCCTCTCAATGACAAAATAAACACACAACAAAAATAACAGTGTTGAGAAAACAGCAGTTAAGAAAGCATCTTATCATAGCAACGTGGATATGTTTGCACCAGCTCTGGAATCAGCATGGATCAACAAAAGTTTTCCAGAAACATCACTTTTGCAAGCTGGTACCTGATTTTATTGACATAATCTCACACCAGTTTGTTCTTTAATTTTCGAATCCATTCAGCTGATTTTCTGATATTTAGAAGAATATCAGTAACCAGACAGTTTCTGGTCTCACTGACTTCCATAGTAGGAAAAAAATATACTATGGAAGTCAATGAGACCAGAAACTGTCTGTTTACTGATATTCTTCTAAATTTCAGAAAATCGGCTGAATACATTCGAAAATGGTAAAACCCAAATGTTTAACACTGGGGGAGTGGTAAAATGAGTTTATTCGCAAAAAAAGTGGAATATCCCAAAGCGCCTGACTCCCAAGCCAGAGAACCGGGTTCGAGGTCTGCACAGAGCGGGGCGAGTAGGACCTGGGTGAGGGGGTTACACATGCACCTCCAGACTGAAACTAAAATAGAAAATTAATAAAAAAATGGCAACAATAAGTTAAAATGTTGTCGCCTAGACTAGAGGAACAGGATAAAAAATTTGGAACTAATTTACATTAAATGCAATTATATAGAAAACACCCCAATTTATATAACTTGTTGTAGTCTATATATTAAAATGTCCCTTCATCACAGCGCACAAGCTAAGTAGGAAGCGCTTTTGGCTAATTTATCACCTACAAATATAATTTAGCTCCTAAATGTTTCATGTTGAATCGAAAAAGGTGAACTGTTACTTTAATGAAATGTCCTTTCATCTCTCCACTTTCCACAGGTATCCTGGTCCTGTTGTCCATCATTGTTTTCCACCAGTCTGTGCTGGCTTTATTGGCAAGCGATCACAGTATCCCTCTCCATCACGAGCTGTCCTGGTCAGTGGCGTGTGTTGGCTCGGCTGGGGCCGTTCTCATTTTTGGAGGGCTAATGTTCCTGTTGCTTTCCCTCCCCAACAACCCCCTGGAGAAATGCTTTCGTCAGCAGAGCAGTAGTGATACCTAGCTGTCCTGTGAGTTAAGTAGCAGAGGATCTTTTATACTCTTATGCTGCTTGTGGAGACTAACTGACGTTATAAAGGACTCTCAAAAGCTAATGTTCATAATGTTTCGCAATAACCTGCCTTAGAACTGCTTATGAATGAGATTTATAGACCTTAATACACTTACACTGAATTTGAACTGATATTTCTATGATGGCTCTGTACATAAAATCAGTGACCAACAGATCTGTTTACTGTCTTTAAAAGCTTAATTTACACTACAAGGCATGCTATTAAGCATTGTTTATTTATCTGCATTGCTAATTTGTATAAAAAACCTGATTTATTTACTTGCTATGTAAAATTGACTTCTGACTGATGGTTTCTGCAGGCTGAAAGTGTAAAACTGTTTCTTTTTTTTAAATGCCATCCTATCTATGCTAAAGGATAGCCAATATGTTTCGTTATCCATGTAGCTGTGGTGTGAACTTCCCTATTCTCATAGAATTAGGACCCATTCACCAAGAACAATAACTATAACGATAACTATATTAGCGTCCACACCAATGCATAACATTCTGTTTATTATGAACAGCGTGCTGCAGTTTTTAGCTTTTTTTTTTTTAGCTGAAGCAATTGAAAAATCAATTGATCAAAAATCTGTCTCTATTTAGTTATCAAGTAAAGAAATCAAATGTTGCTCTAAAAATTTTCTTATTGAAGAAACTGTTTCACTCTGATATATGTCACAATAGGGAAGAAACGATTATCACAACTTCCATTTCATGCCAACTTTAAAGTTGGGTGGATTCTGATTCCCTGTGAATGTTTTTATCGTTTGATTTGATTTGTTTATTTTTTTTCTGGTAAATTTACAATGAAATAACCCCCCTCCCCCCCCTCCCCCCAAAAAAAAAAAATCTAATTTTTTTTTTCTCATTTTATCATGAGATTTCTCAAAAAATCTTAGTTTATCATCTCTGAAAGTGATCCCAACTATATCGTTCCTGTGTCGTTATTGTTATAGCTATGGGACTTCTCCATTTTCAAAGAATTAAAACATTTATTAAAACTTAATAGTTGTATTGCCATTTTGTGAATGGGCCTTTAGAATGATTATTTAAAGTTTGTAGTTGAAGTCGATATAGTTATCGTCTTTGGTGTGAATGGTCGAGTTGGTGTATGCTAGTTAGTTGTGGCTTGTGAACCATCATAGCCATGCTGTTTAGCAAAACTTGGCAGATGAGCTTCGTTGACCAGAATTATCTTTATGGTGAAGCTGGTACCCAACAAAGTCTTGCTAGTTAAATAGTCTAATGGGGATATATGCTGGTGACCAGCTACAGAGATCCCAAAAAAGTAACACTTTTGGACACAGTTAAAAATATTAAAGTAATTTTTAACTTCTATTGATTTATTAACCTAGGAAATTTTTGTGCCATCTTTCTTTATAGGGTTAGTTCACCAAAAATGAATATTCTGCCATTAATTACCAAAACCACCAAAACAGGGCTTTAATTATAAAATACCGAACTTGTCCTTTAATGAACTTTTGAAGAGTCGAAGTGGTAGTTGCGTAGTGGCCTGTGGAGGGACAGAAAGCTCTTAGATTTTATCAAAAAACATATTCATTTGTGTTCTGAAGATGACAGAAAGCTTTACAGGTTTGAAACGACATGAGGGCAAGTAATGACAGATTTTCATTTTTAGGTGAACAATCCCTTTAAAATAAATGCTGCTTGGTTTGATATTTTGCTATAAATTCATTATTAATGCATTTAATTGCCCAAATACTTTTTGGGATCACTTTATACTGGTCTTTTCTGCTGGTTTTTTTTTCAATTAGCAAAGTAATCAGCTGATTAGATATCATAGTTTTCAATGCATAGATTTAATTTGCATTATATAAATGTAAAATGATGCTTAATACTATCCATGAAACCAATGTGTGTGTATAAAAATGATGAATGAAATGTTTTGATGTGGACGATACAGACTCGTTGTTGAGCCACACTGTTATGTAAATAATGTATTTATATTGTACTCCAGTCGAAATGAGAGCACCTTGTCCTTATACTGAAGATACAGTCCTTCACTGAACTTTCTTCATCTCCTTCTTTCTTATATCAGTTCTTCACTCTGTGCCACTCTCTATTCTTCACGCTCTTTCTCGTTCCCTAGTTTTGCTTGAGGATTAAATCGCTTTCACCCAAGACAGTCTCCTGCACTCCTTCCCTCGCTTGTTTCTTAATCTCACTCCTTCTCTTTTGCCTCTCGCTCATTCTAAAATTAGTGCATTGCTCTTCTAAGCACATCATGTTGAAATGGATGAGAAATATTATCCTGGTATGTCAACTATGCCCACCCTCGACGTTCTCTCGATGTTGATCGCTCTTGGGTGTCTCCGAGGGTTTGGGTGGAGCTGCTGTTTCCCTGCGTCTGCCGTCCCGTTCCTCCCCTCCCACCCGAGTGTTTGTGAATACAGTGTCAGTACATTTGGGAAGTGAGGAAAGGCCTTAGCCTCAGTAATCTGCATGTCTCTCATCCAGTCTAACTAAAGCCTCCATCCAGTGCAAAACAATCTAGATATCCGCAAACCGCAGAAATGACAGGTGGCGAGTGTGTTCCTGGAGTAACCGTCTCGACATGTCCTACAGTATGCTTATAATTGGCCCTTTTTAATTTGGGGAATCTGTATTGGGTCTGTAGGATAAGAGCACGTGGCTTGATCAGCTGGGGGAGTATGGGTGGGTGCAGGAGTTGGGAAATTGGAGCCTCTAGGTTGACACTGAAGCTAGAGGTCTGCTAGTATATATAGCCCTTTAATAGTGCCTGTCAGACTAACGGGCTGTTCTTTCACTTTTTATGTGTCCAAGTACATGGGGGGAATAAAACAGGATCTGCTCTCACGGTGAAACTAATTGTTGGTCCGAACAGAAAGAGTGCATGTTTGTGGGTGGGTACAATAAAACACTCAATAGCCAGTCTTCCAATAGTAAAAGAACTGGGGTGGTATGTGAAGGTTTGACCATCTGGATATTAGGGGAAAAAATGGGGTCAATTATCATCTTCCAAATTTAATCTCAAAAAAAGTAGTAAAATCCAAAAATGATTCTGCAAAATATCTAGATTACCACTTAAAGGCCTGTTAAAAGGAGGCTAGAGGGTAACAAAGGGTAATAGTGTATTATTTTCATGTTTTTTTTTTTCTCAACCTTTTTGACTCTTTTGGGTCCTCCATTGTTTAAAATATTCAAAGGCCCTATGACTTTTCCATTTGTTTGTGATTTACTGGATAAAGATTAAGGATATGGATTTTTACTCTCAATTTTGAGCATGGCATTACTCGAAAATGTTATATTCCTTATAAAATAGGGCTGTCAAACGATTAATCGCGATTAATCGCATCCAAAATAAAAGTTTGTGTTTACATAATATATGTGGGTGAACTGTGTATAATTATTTTATATATATAAATACACACACATGCTTGTACATATTTAAGAAATATTTTCATGTATATACTGTATATGGATTTATATATCATTTATATTACATATAAATATTTTATATATAAATATTTTTTTTCTTAAATATACATGCCATGCATGTGTGTGTTTATATATACACAAAATAATTATACACAGTGCGCCCACATATGTAAACACAAAATTTTATTTTAGATGTGATTAATCGTGATTAATTGTTTGACAGCCCTATTAATTTACAGGACTTTCCAGTTCTAGAAATCACACAAAATTAGGCTACCTTATATATACAGGTTTTCAAATACCATGAGCACCCTCATTTTTTAAATAATTAAATGGAAAAAAAAATCAAATAAAATTGTTTAGGAGGTTAATTCAAATTAGAAATAACTTAATTTTTGCATTTATTTTAAATAATTTTAGCTGAGAATCACTGTAGTATTATAAGATTATGAAAGCTCATTTTGTCCTCAGAGTAAAAAAAAGAGCATTTCTTACCAAATTTATCTCATAATTGCTCACAATCGCAACACTTTTTTAAATATAATTGCGACTTTGAACAATTGCACGTTTTTATCTCACATTTTCAAAAATAAGTTTCATAAATGTGACTTATTTTAAACTTTTTCAGTAATCTAGTTATATTTTTTACTCTGAGATTAATATGTTCTTCCATAGAAAACAATTTTGATAGGTGACAAACCTTCAAGGATCAAGATTTTAAAAGACACAAATGACATCACTCGTAGATTGTCTGTTGTTTCTTTTTTATATATAAAATCCGTGCAATACAGTGTTAGAGTTTATCACACATTAAGATAAACCATATTTTCTCTAGATATATCTATTCTCCACTACGTAATATTTATAACTAAGCACATAAATGCTGTCTGTGTGTAGTTTTTCACATTTTTCATGAATTAAAAAAAGACCCCCGACTACAGGAGATTGTGATTTTGATGCCCATTTGCACTCAATTATGTAATGTCCTGTGTTGACCTCTTGTTGGCTGGGATCATGGAATAAAGGTTAAAGGTTAGCAGAATGTCCACATATATAATCTCTCATTTAGAGAAGCAGACGGGTCAAAGGGAGTCAGGTGCAGCACAGTGAACGTTTGTTTTTGTTTTTTGTTAGGGTTTTTTTTTTTTTTTGGAGGGGAGCTTTGCCTTTGGGATCCTGTCATGTTCACATGACACAATGGAGGGAAAACACAAATGACACAGGGCATGCCCCAACATAGAGTGTAGCCCAACAGGGCTCAAGGAAGACCAGTGTCCTCATACATATTCAAAAAAGCCCCGCCCACCCATTCTGCCCTCTCCGATACATATTTGTCCTCTGGTTTTAAAGTCTTTTTTTTTTTTTTTCAATCGTGTAATATACTTTTGCATTTCAAAATGTATTTTTTTTCCAGCCTTCCTTCAACTGCAGACCTGTCGATTTACAATTCAAATGGTCCTTTATTGTCCCTGCCCATTTGAAAAGCACAGTTTTGGCTAGAAGTCATTTTCTGAATGTCATTCACCATTTTCTCTATACAAATATATCATCTGTCCCTCTTCGACTAAGTGAGGGAATGTTTTAATGCCCCAAAACAAAGATTTTCAATTTAACAAGTGCTACTTCTACTGCTAACAGTGATTTTAACAAAAATAATATGATGGTAGGTTTTTATAAAAATCTTTTTCGTTTGAACTCTTCAGTCCATCAATTATGGTGCTGATCTGTTTACTGAACTGGAAGACAGATATACAGATATTACACACTAAATTGCATGTTATCAAAGGGTAGAAAATAAAACTTTCATTAAAATAAATAAAACGCTTCTCACAAAGTTAGTTGTAATAATAATAATCTCATTC